AATTAGAATGAATGACGCCGGCGTCATTCATTCCAAATTGGAGGCTTGAGATTTTAGCAGGTTTTTTTTTTCAAATGAATTTTATAGCTCGTCTTGAAATGCTCACCTCGCTTGCCAGATTAAATGGAAATATCGTTTGTGTGACGTTGAGTTTTGCCGGGCGGAAGTGACGAACTGATGTGCCACTGCAGCATCTGCTTGTCTGCTATGAATTGTGTGGGTTTGCCCGACGCTTCCTTGGTTGAAAGTGCGATTTTCTTTTCCGTGTTGGTGGCCATGTGCTAGGGGCCTATTGGTGTTGTGTTGTGTGGCACACACAATTCGCCTTTTGTTCACCATAACAGCGTAAGCGTTTTAACAGATTGCCGCGGACGGTGTGGACAGGTAGTGCCCTCTAGCGGGCATTATGTGCAACCAGGCTGGTTCCGGCAGCGTCCGGCAAATCTTTACGTCAGACGTAAAAGCACACTTGGTTAGGTTTCTCTTTCTGTATTCTGTTTCGGTAATTAAAAATTCTTTTTAAATTTTTTTAGCATTTCAGGTATCGGACGCGTCAGAAGAGTGTCCAAAAGACACAATAACATTGTGAAAAAATCGCCAGAGTTGGCCTTTGAGTGTACACTTACATCGTTCATAATCCTGCAGATAAGTAAAATGCAAGTCAGCCTGATTATTATCGCTTCACTGACTAAAAAACAGCAATTATGTAAGGTGCAGTATGCTCTTTTTTTACACCCATGATCAATCCGTTGTGCTTAGAAGGTTTACGCTAATTGCAATTAAGTAACAGCAATATTTTAAATAGGCTGGCAATAGAGAGCACTGGTTTAGTTGAATTGAAGGCTGGTGATATAAAGAAGCCTGTTTATTATTGTAGCCGAACACAACTTCCTGTTATAACTACTAAGCACCGAATTGTTACCCCAATATCTGGCAGTACTTCAACGGCTTTTAAAAAATGCAAGATCGTCAGCACTGCCTCCTCGATTCTGCCGTCAGTCGCGTCATACACTACCCTCATGAAGCATTTTGTGCGTGTGAGAGATTCTTCCCTCATCTACATGTGTCGCCGACTGGCGGGGCGCTTTTTTGACGCTAAGCGCATACAAGCTTTTCCTTCGCTATTCGATACACATCGACAAAAGAGCGGCGAGGTAATTGTGTCTTTGCAGTATTTCAATACATTCAATACATAGAAAAAGTATTTAGCTACTGCGATACGAATACCTTTTTCAAATGTATCTCAATACAGGAACTCAAAAGCATCTCTGAGATACTACTGCATCGCGATACGGCCCACCTCTGCGCTAAAGCTCTTGTGAATGATACAAAAGACTATCCCATTCATTCAGTGTAGTCATAGGGCGGCAGCACTTTCACTCTGCTATACCCAGTTTCACAACCTGGCGCAAAAGAATAATTGTTTTGCCTCGCCGCTGCTACTTCCTTTTGCTCGCCCCACAATCCTTATCGACTTCACTATATTGCGGTCATGATGGCATGGAGAGTTAAGTTGTGTGACACGCAGAGTGAGTAGCGCCTGGGTGGGACGCGAAGAGCGGTAACGTGAACAAATCGCCTAATTCTCCCAAAGGCCACGCATGACTCTAATCAATGCAACCCACGCAATCGTCTCATGTGTTTTATCATTGAAAAGAAATTACCAAATGCGCTGGATAAAGTCACCTGGCGAAACGAAATAACTCCTGTTGTTATGAACCACCCGCCACGGTGGTCTAGTGGTATTTTTGCTATAGACTGCAGACGACAAGGTGACGGGATCAAATACCGGCTTCGGCGCTTGCATTCTCAATGAGAGCTTAATTGTGTTAAGTACGCGTACTTAAATTTAGGCGCGCTTCAAAGAACCCCAGGTGCTCCCAATATCCGGAGCACTCCACACTGCATCTCTCACAATCATATCGTAGTATTCGGACGTTAAACCCCACTCTACGGACGCTAACCCCCACTCGATTTTCAAGCACTATAAGTGCTTGAAAATCGATCTTTGCTTAGCGTAACATGATGAAAAGGTATCGAGAGCATCATCGGTGGGAGATATACAAAATCCTTCGCCTAGTGACAAGCGCGGACTCATGCGTCAGTTCTCGATCTCTATACTTCATTGAGCAAAAAGAAAAGGTGCACTCTTGGTCACGCTAAGGCGCATCAATTTTTCTCCGTCATTCAATATCCATGCACACAGTGTGAATTATAGCGTTATACAACGCCGCTTGGGAACAACACGCTTTCGTTTGTTAGCGTAACTTCCTGTGTCACACGTTTGAATATTTTCATCAAGCCTGACTTCATGTCTAGCCTGGGTGTAGAGCAACCACAACCACGCGTGCAGCGCATATAACAAATAACGACCTAATGACGACAACATCAAGTAATTTTCATACCGTCAAACGTTACAAAATGAAATATAGGTAAGAAATTCTTTTCACAAAGATACTCACGCAAAAAATAGCTAATGAACGCCAAAAGATACTGAAACTTCTAGTTGTGCCAAAAAAAAAACTGTACTTTCCTCAATAAACAAAATTCGCCGACTTTTTTTAGGCAGGCTTCGAAGGCAGTGCTTCTATTTCATTCACTGCGTCTCTTTTTATCATGAAGGGAGCAATGAGAGACAAATTTAAACTCAGCCAAACAAGCCCTAATAAAGCTTTAGAATAGCCACCTGCGTACGTGACGTGTTGCGCAACCTATGGTAGCTGGAAAATTTGTTACGACCGACTGGGGAACTGAGATTGAACGTCATAAAAGCAAGTCTAACAACACAGAGAGCCGTGTTGCTGAAGGAGGACCTGCCATTACTTACAATAAGCATTTCTTATGTTGCGCGCTGCGACACTTATATTGCCGGCCAATGGCTTGCTGAGAAAGGACACTCAGTCAATCGGAGCCTCTATACCCTGGTCATATAGCTGGCTATTGTAAATAATTGCGGCTTTCAGCTGGTTTTACAGATGTGCTTGGCTGTACAATGCTTTACTGAGAACGAGCCAGGGAAGCAAGCAAAGCTTTCCACAGCGACAATACTGCGTTTCTTTAGTCAGCTTGCCTTACATTTTATCTCACAGCCGCGTATTTCAAAGCTTGTGTAAAAATATTGCAACAGCTACCTCCGAGATAATAAAATAATTTTCAGTGACGTATAGCTGGCTTGATCTGTACACCCACATTTGGATTCATAGGCATGCGACGTGTTTCCCATCAGGCATGGCGAAGCTTCATCTATTCGCCCCCCCCCCCCCCGCCCTCTCACTAAGTCACTGTATGGTGCACATTTGGAGCTCTCCCTCTCCTAAATATATTGAGTGGAGAGGAAAGGGAGAGGAAAAGGCAGGGGGACACAATCTCCCCAATGCTATTTACCGCGTGCTTACAGGAGGTTTTCAGAAGCCTGGAATGGGAACAGTAAGGGATAAGAGTTAATGGAGAGTACCATAGTAACCTGCGCTTCGCCGATGACATTGCATTGCGGAGTAACTCAGGGGACGAATTGCAACTCATGATTACGGAGTTAGACAAGGAGAGCAGAAAGGTGGGTCTTATAATTAACCTGCAGAAAACGAAAGTAATGTACAACAACCTCTGAAGAGAGCAGCACTTCGAGATATGTAATAGTGCACTTCAATTTGTAAAACACTATGTCTACTTAGGACAGGTAATAACCGCGGAGCCGAACCACCAGATTGAAGTAACTAGAAGAATAAGAACGGTGTGGAGCACACTTGGCAAGCACTCTCAAATTATGACAGGTAGATTGCCACTATCGCTCAAAGGAGGGTATACAACAGCTGTATCTTGCCGGTTTTTAGCTACGGAGCAGAAACCTGGAGACTTACAAAGAGGGTTCAGCTTAAATTGAGGACGACGCAGCGAGCAATGGAAAGAAAATTGGTAGGTGTAACCTTAAGAGACAAGAAGAGAGCAGCGTGGGTAAGGGAACAAACGGGGGTTAAGGATATCATAGTTGAATCAAGTAGAAAAAATGGACATGGGCCGGACGTGCAGCGCGTAGACAGGATAACCGCTGGTCATTAAAGGTGACTCACTGGATTCCCAGAGAAGGCAAGCGAGTTAGGGGGAGAAAAATGTTAGTTGGGCAGATGAGAATAAGAAGTTTGCGGGTATAAATTGGCAGCAGCAAGCCCAGGACCGGGTTAACTAGCGAAACACGGGAGAGGCCTTTGTCCTGCAATGGACGTAGTTAGGCTGATGGTGATGACGATGATGATGATGATGATGATGATGTTGATTTTCTGACAGGTGTTTTGTTATGTCTCGAGATTCCTCTTGCCTATGAATTGCCATTGTAAAAGCGTTTTTATTAGGCACCGTGTTTGTCCTCCTAAATTTATTCTCTTTAAAGTATTGTTTAGTTACCGTTCAAAAGCAAAAGACCTAACTATTCGAAAAGGCCGGCTAGTTTTTTACGTACAGAAAGTAACTCAGCTCTTTTTGTTTGCCTCACCCAATCGTCCTTCTCGCAAGAATCTGTTAACATGTCAAAATACCGGTCGGATTACAAGTTTCTCCACGCCCTTCTCTTAAGCACGTGAAACAAAACAAAAATCAACGTGGAACGTGTTCGCCTTACCGCGGTTTACAGAGGTATCTGGTTTTCCAGAGGTTGTGCACGAGTCGCTACGCATCGCTTTCTCTTCTCATGATGGTATTCACTGTAGCACTCTCAGGTGAATACTCAATCTTGCACAATTTCATCATAGTACTTGCGTTGATCACGTCTTATAAGCGACGGCAAGCACTGTATACAAAATAAACGAATAAAAATTTACCTACATTGGAAAGCACGAAAATAGCGTTTGTGAATCGTACTAATGCAGGTAATGCACGCTTGTGAGGGGAAAGAGGAAATAAAAATTACCTTGACATTCTTCTCCCCTGGTGTTAAGGCTGTTTTGCGAAAACGTGAAGCTAAACGTCAGGTATATAAGACCACTCACCACAGACCCAGATCCGAAGCTTCTGCTCCTGTAACAGACTAGGACTACCACCATGGTAAGTAAATGAATATCTGTTCTTTCGGCTTGCAAACCTCTAATTTTTTCTTGGAAATGAATATCTGCCAGTACCTTCGAAAAATCCTGCCCCCACATGAAAACTTTGGTTCACTTTGTAACCGTAAAGAAGGGCTCTTAATCAACAAATAATATTAGGTTCATAAAACATCTATGCAGGTTTGACACAAGGGCAAAAAATGAGAAGTCCAAATGATTATCGTTGCCAAAATATTTTAAACTTCAAATAAACGAGGCGAAGATTACCTTTATGTAGGCCAGCTAGGTATCTTTAAGCAATTAGCAGGTCATGGTTAAAATACATGGACAGAGAAGAATGGTGGATTAAACAAAGGGCATTTTTTCTATCAAATCAAGATTTACGCAGGAGAACTTGGTTTCGGTTGTTCTTTGGTTCCCCATAAAAAGCACAGTGGACTAAAAAGACGATACTGGACCACTTCTTCCATTCCAGAACACGTAACAGCTACAAAATGCACTGACTAAAACACCGTCTTCGTTATCCTTGACGTTTTACGTCACCCTTCAAGTTTTCGTTGAAATCAAAAACCTGAGCATTATGCACAACGGGAATATTCTGCCACTAACCATAAAAATTCATGAAGATGCACCGCGATTCGTATGTTATATAGGTGAATTTTATTTGAAATCCGAAACCCCTTCATTTTTCTTCTTTAGCTGCGCGCCTGCATCATCCTCGCCATAGCTACCAGCGCCCTTGCTGGTCACGTTGGCCACCTTGCTGGAGGCTACACCCTCGCAAATAACCTCGGTTATGGCCTTGGCTACGGTAGCCTCGGTTACGCCGGTCTTGGTTACGGTGGTCTTGGTCTATCCCACTACGGGCTTTCCCATGGCGTTGGATACTCTGGCCTCACCGGCTACGGTGCCGGCTACGGATACGGTTACGCGCCAGCTGCCAGCTATGCTGTCGCTGCCCCAGCCGTCACCCGTACCGTCTCCTCCTACCACGCTGCCCCAGCTGTGACTGCTGTGCACGCTGCCCCAGCCGTGGCTGCTGTGCAAGCTGCTCCAACCGTGACTGCTGTCCACGCTGCCCCAACTGCCGCCACTTATGCCGGCTATGGATATGGTTACGCGCCAGCAGCCAGCTATGCTGTCGCTGCCCCAGCCGTCACCCGTACCGTCTCCACCTACAACGCCGCTCCAGCTGTGACCACTGTGCACGCTGCCCCAGCCGTGGCTGCTGTGCAAGCTGCTCCAGCCGTCACTACTGTCCACGCTGCCCCAACTGTCGCCACTTATGCCACTGCCCCATCTGTCAGCTACGCTGCCGCCCCGGCTGTAACCAGGGTTGTCCAGCAGTCCGCTCAGATTGTTGCTGCTGCCCCAGCTGTCGCTACCTACGCCGCTGCCCCATCTGTGACTGCTGTCCATGCTGCTCCTGCTGTCACTACAGTTCACGCTGCGCCAGCCGTCGCTGCCGTCCATGCTGCCCCAGCTGTAGCTACCTACAGTGTTGCCCACGCTGCCCCAGCCGTCGCTACCTATGGTGTGGCCCATTCTGCCCCACTCTACTATGGTTATGGAGTCGGTTCTCTGGGCTATGGTGCCGGTCACTACGGATATGGTCATGGTCTGCTCGGCTACGGCCTGAACTACGGCTATGGTCTTGGTTCTCCTCTGAGTTACGCCACCCTTCTGCGCAAGAAGAAGTGTAAGTTCCCCCTAATTCTATCCAACTTTGAGTACGTGCCTTCGATTTCAGAAGTTCTCACAAACATGCACCATTATTTTTCTTTTCACAGAAATGGTCCTCGTCTTAACCCTTCCGCAGAACCCATCAATGGTGAACGAGACTTGAAGACCCACTGAAGCATACAGAACTTTATGGTATAATAAAATTTTTGCACAGTATCTGGTTTCTCTATATTAGTCCTTCACTCAACTGACAGAAACAAAATGTCATTGAAATAAAGAATTAAAAAGAGAGTGGCGAGGCAACAACACTGACATTGCACTGGGCTGACGAAGAACTCGCAATATTCAGGAGTATAGAACACTTTGGTTAGTACAGGTCCTACATTTAGTTGGAATTCTCATCGTGTTGTCTTAGACATTTTACCAGGTTAGCCTCCCATTTTAGTGGTTTTGTTCAGGCTTCAGCGATTCATATTCAGATATATTTCTCGTCGTGTCGTAAACGTTGCGGTTTATTTTCCTATTACAGTAAAGAGAAATGCGGTGGGAAGTCATACTGCGTTAATTTATTCAGCCTAAAAATTCATAGATACATCTTTCCACCAAATGAGACGTGATTGATATAATGGTGATTAATGTACGCTTCTTGTGTAGATAGCCTTCATCGCTGTGAATATCAGGCACGTCATTTGACGATTGACGCAAGTTTGTAGAATGACTTTATTTGCTTGGTTTACACAACCAAAGGTGCTATTTATCAGTATATTTTACGTATGGAGTACCAGTTAGGTTAGTAAGCTTAAACATTATTTTTTGGCAAACAATGATACATGGTTTGGTTGTGAACATGATTGTGAACATGATTGCGCATGTTGCGCCAACAAATCAGCCTTTCAGTTGCACTCCCCGACGATTTGCCTTGGCTATTTGAGCAGTCATCAGTAGTTTAACCGACAGGTTGGTAATTGAGCAGCTAATCATTAACACCGCACTTCCACTTAAAAGAATAATAGCATACTTATTACGTACGATAGTAACAATATTATTATAAGGAACGACTAATAGCAAAAATTTTGTTACTTTTGACCAACGGATGTTCTTTATTGTTCTCTGACATCGCACCTTGCACAAACCTGTATCATGTCGCCCTCATAAATAGCGACTGCTGCCATAGAGATCGAACGCGCGACTTTCGGACTTGCAGTCTAGCACTTTTACCACTATACTGCTATGGCGCACATCTCGCCACTTTAAGTTTGTTGGAAACTTTTACTTTATAATTTGGGTCGAAAGGTAGTGTCCTTTGTTACGGTGTGTGAATACTGAAACTTTTTGGATCGCATTGTTGTAGCGGTCAGGGTTCTCGACTGCTGACCCGAAGGTCGCGGGTTCGATTCTTGTCATGGCGGTCGCATTTCGATGTAGGCGAGGTGGTAGAGGCCCGTGTACTGTGCGAAGTGAGTGCACATTGAAGAAGACATGGGCCCGCCACTACGGCATCTCACATTCGTATCTTGGTTTTGGGACGTTGAACACCAGATATAGTTAGGAATGCTCAAACGTTGAAGTAATCTTCAAAAAATGTTTTCTTCTCTGTATAATTCGCTCCTCGATTTTAGTATTTCAGGTATTCCAGATTTGACAAAACAATACAAGTACTTTCGTTCACTAAACATCAAATCACAGAGCTTCCAAATGATAAATTTAAATATAGCTTTCGCCCTCGTTGGTGATCATCTAAGAAAAAAAAAGTGAAGCACAACGTGAACCCAAGGAAAGAAAGTTTTATTCTGCTCCCTCTTTCTCCTTGAAGTGATCCAGTTTTCTTCTCAATAAAATGACTTCTGAATTCTCCTGCACTGTATGTCGTGCTTGTGGTGCATTCACACATGAAAAGCGAAGCAACAAATAAACCACCAGAGTGGCCGGTAAACCATGTCGGCGTGCGTCATTTTGACGAATCACCACCTTGAAGATTTGTTGCATTTTGATAATTTACTGGCGATGAGTTTTCACACCGAAGTCAAGTTATGCGTAAAAATCATTGAAAATAAATGGTTTTCACCTTTCCAAACGATTTTTTTTTTCGAAAAATGCGCCAGCGTAAACAACCCGAGGGGCCCCACCAACAGGGGTGTCGGGGAATTCAACCGGCTGTACAAAAGTGACACACGCTGGGGCAAGGCGACTACCGACTAAAACAGGCTCTCGAAAAACTTGTCCTTGTCGAGGCCGCGAGCTTCGTCGTGCTGCAAGGGTACTTTGCAATTGCGCCGATACGAGCGACCACCGACAACATGGTCCCCAACATGGGCGTTGAACTCTTCCTTGCGTGTGTGTACATATATATATATATATATATATATATATATAAGGGAAAGAAGTGTATACCTTAGGGCTCGTTTTTCCGTGTTTTAACACAATATTAATGAGATCTAACAGACAGTAATGCCAAGGAATGTACAGGGGAAGTTATAAAAACCAATTGAATGTAAATAAGAAGAAAGAAAAGTGGATGAAGAAATAACCAGCCGTGAACAGGATATATAAATATATATATATATATATATATATATATATATATATACATATATATATATATATATATATATATATATATATATATAGGAGGACGAAGCAACAAAAGGGAGAAGCAGGGAGGTTAACAAGAAAGACATCCGGTTGGCTACCCTACACTTGGGGATTAGGGAAGGGGACAAGAAAGACGAGAAAAAGGGAAGAGAGGGAAAAGAAAAAAGGTGGAGGAGAGACTGACAGTAATTCCACTGCAGCGTGTAGAACTCTACCGCATGTCAGAGGCGTTCACACAAGCCTCTCTTTCTCAGGAAACACAGCAGGGCTTTCACTGCCTTGTGGGCTGTCGAGGCACGTGGACGTTGCTATAATAGTACCTGCACAGAAAGAGGCCAATCATCCAGTCACCGCATTGCGTTGGCAAGTACTTGTCTATCTGAGGCAAATCGAGGACAACGGCACAGGAGGTGTTCGATATTTTCGTCGGTGCCGCAAACATGCACGCCGCACTGTCAGTAATTCCGATTAACGTGGTATAAGCATTCGTGAAAGCAACTCCCAGCCAAAGGCGATAGAGAAGCGAAGCTGCACGTCGATGTAGGCCGGGTGGAGGCCGATGTTGTAGTGAAGGGTCGAGCTCGTGCAGTCTTGTACGTCGTTGCTTGGTGTGTTCCACTCAGTCAGTGCGAGACTGCGGGCCAGTTGACGAAGCTGCCTCGCCACATCCGCTCTTGAAAGCGGAATCGGAACGCTGTTCGCTTCTTTATGTGACGTGCGAGCAGCATGATTTGCAGAATTATTGCCGCCTACATCACAATTCCCAGGTAACCACTGAAAGACGATGTCGTGGCCTTTTTGTATTGAAAGGTGGTGAAGTCTCATGGTTTGGTAGGTCAACTGGTCATGGCATCCGCGTCGGAGAACTGATATCAGGCACTGTAACGCTGGTTTTGAGTCAGAAAACACAGCCCATTTACCTGGTATTTCTTCTGAATTGATGAGTTCCAGTGCATTGCCCAGAGCCTCGAGTTCTGCCGTCCTTGACGTTGTCACATGTGAAGTCTTAAAACACCGAGTTACCCCTTGTGATGGTATAACCACTGCTCCACCTGTACTAGACGGCGTAGTAGAGCCATCCGTGTAAATGTGCACGTAGTTACTGTAGTTTTTTTTCCAGTAAGAATAGACTCAGTTGTTTCACGGCATGTGTCAGTACGTACGATTTTCTCCTCATTCCTGGAATCATTAAGTGAACTCGCAGCCGGCTCAAGCTCAAACGAGGAAGCAGTGGCTTTGATGCAGGTCCGTACGTCTCAGTAAACGATGAACGATGCTTGTAGATAGTAGTGCCATATGTCGTGCGGGGCCTTTCAGCAGCTAGGCTCGCCAGGTGGTGAGAAGGGGTCCTGGCATAATGCCTGAGGGGCATGCGCATTGTCTCGGTAATAATATGCGTCTTTATCGAGTGATCTTGAGCGATGGCAATGGTTTCAGCTGTTGAAGCACTGCTGGGTAATCCAAGGCATATCTTAAGTGCTTGGGCTTGAACGCTCTGAATTGTGCGCAGGTTGGTCTTGCCGGTGTTAGATATTGCAGGTAAGCTGTACCGTAAGACTCCGATAAACAGCACTCTGTACTGTTGTAGCATGGATGGTATGGGCACTCTCCACTTCTTTCCTGCAAGGAATTTGAACATGTGCCATGTTGCGATCAGCCGCTTCTTCACATAGTTCACATGTGGAGTCCACCACAGGTTTCTGTCTATTATGACTCCCAAGAACCTGTGGCTTCTGCTGAACTATATGTATTCTTCATTAATCGATATGCTGTAAGCAGACATTGGTTTCCGCGAGAATGCTACCACTGCACATTTTCCGCACGACACTTCGAGGCCTTGTTTACGAAGGTAGCATGACGTCGTTGTAGCAGCCTTCTGAAGGCGGGCGCGAAGCTGAGGCCTTGTCACACATGATGTCGAAATGCAGATGTCATCAGCGTAGACAGAAAGTTCTACAGTGCTAGGTATCTGCTCGACTAGACCAATGAGAGTTAGGTTGAAAAGTGTAGGGCTTAGCACTCCTCCCTGAGGAACTCCTTGTCTGCTGTAATAATGAGGTGTTGGGCCATTCGCTGTCATCACGTAAAATGATCTCAGCTGTAAGTAGCTGTACACCCACATATATCTTGCCACCAACACCTACTGTTTCCAAAGCACTAAGGATGGCTTCATGGGTGACATTGTCGTAAGCCCCCTTATCATCTAGAAACAGGGCGGCGCACAGTCTCTTACAGGCTTTCCGGTGTTGAGCATATGTCACCAGATCAACAACGTTGTCGATTGACGAATGGCCGCACCTGAATCCGGTCATGGATACTGGATAGATATCGTAGTGCTCTAAATACCATTTCATTCGAGTTAGAATTATTTGTTTCATCGTTTTTCCCACACAACTGGCAAGTGCGATAGGACGGTATGAGGCAATATCCAAAGGAGATTTACCAGCCTTTAGAAGTGGAATGAGGCGACTTGACTTCCATGCCTGGGGAACCGTACCAGTCTGCCAGGAGTCGTTGTATAGGCGTAATAGTGCCTTCCGAGCTTCGTCTCCAAGATTACAAAGGGCACGATAGGTAATGCC